GGCCAAGGCTGAAGCCCTCCGCGGAGCCCAGCGGGCACGGCTGGTTCCCTGCAGGAGACAGCGGTTGGGAGGCACAGGCTGAGGGGTGCCAGCTCCTTTGCTCCCTGAACCCAGCGTGTGGCCAGGAGGCATCGCCCCGGACGGACTGTCAGGGCCTCGCTGCTTCCTGCCCATTCCTCACCCTTCGTGTGCGCACTCCTGTTTCTACCTGCCACTCACTCCGCGGCCCCGAGGTCAGGGGCTGAGGACACCCCTCGCTTGCTCCCCAGATTGGAAAGGGCGGCTCACAAGCCCCGAGCCCTGAGCCCAGAGACGCTGGAGGCCACTCCTTCCTGCCCTGGGCTCCCCTGTCCCAGCCCCGCAGACTCACCAAGGCCCCCGACAGCCACAATGTGGCCCCCAAGGGCGCCGACCACAAAGTCAGCCCTCTTGTCCCTCATACGCAGGCCGCGGGGCAGCTTGGTCCAGGAGCCTGCAGGGGAGGGGAGGGGAGGTCAGGGCGGCCCCATGGGCCCTCCACGGCGGGAGGACACCCCGGACCGCCCTGCTCACCGCGCTCCAGGTCGAACGTCTCCACAGTGTTGACGAAGTGCGGGCGCGAGTAGAAGTTGTGGGGCCCAGGCTGCTGCAGGCCCCCCAGGCTGAAGACGCTGCCTTCGGCCATGGCGCAGCCAGCAAAGGCTCGGCGGCTGGGCAGGCTTGGGTGCCGGGTCCAGGTCCGGGCCTCCAGGTCAAAGGCCTCAAAAGCGGTCACGGGGAGCTTGCCCTGGCGGCCCCCTGCGAGGGCATCAGGCACCTGGGAGGGAGCCTGGGCGCGGACAGGCGCCTCCACCACCAGATTGCTGAGCCTCGGTGCTGCCCGCTCCAGCCACCACCCAGCTGTGCAGCCAGGGCCTGGTTACCCACCCTCTGCTGCTGGGCACTGAGGTTGGGTTTTCCAGTTCCAGCAGGGCCACCAGGGGTTGGAGCCTCGGAGCAAGCCTGGCTCATCCCAACAAAGCCTCCTTGTCCTGCCCCGCCCCCCCAACTCAGCCTGATTTTAGCCAATGCACAGGGTAGGGGCTCTGGACTCTGGGCCCCTTTCCCCCAGCCCCCAGGTCCTTACCCAGGACATAGATCTTGTTCCCGTGCAGGAAGGTGGACGCTCCGTAGCAGGGTGTGGGCATAGAAGGCAGCGAGAGCCAGCAGTCCTGGCGGGGCTCGTACACCCGGACCTGGGCTTGGGGGGCTGTGTCAGAGCCCATTCCGCCCAGAGCATACACCAGGCCATCTGCACAGAAAAGAGCAGGGCAGACAGTACCCCAGGCTCCCCAGGGCACCCCACCCCGACAGCTGCCCTGGGGAGGCGGGGGACCCATGTTTGTGGTACCCTCCCCAGCAGGGGAAACCCTCATGCCTGCCTGGAGGGGGCGCTGGGAGAACCAGGATTCCTGCTCTGACCAGGGCCCCTCCAGTGGAGGGCGAGAGGCAGCCGATCTAATTATAATCTGTCTCCGTCTCCCTGGAGATGCTATGGCAACCAAGTCTGGCATCCAAGCAGAAGCAGACCTGGTCAGACCTGGAGGCCACAAGATGGGGCCCTCCTGGGGGAAGGAGGCTGGAGGATGGTTTAAGCCAGGGGTGGGGGGACCAGCTGGGGCCTGCAGGAGAGGAGTGTTGGCCACAAGCCTTCTGCCCAGGAGCCCCACCAGCACCTCTGCACCCCACCTTTTCACTAGAGTAAGTTCTTGCCCTCTTATGTCTTCAAGGTCAGTTGGGGGCATGTCAGGGGGCCTGGAGGAGACAGCCAGTCAGCTGGGCGCTTCCATGGCAACTGTCCCCAAGCCAAGCTGGCCTTTGTCCACCTCAGGCTCCCTGATGTGTGTGGAGGGACAATCCTGTCGGGCTCTGAGCCAAGGCTCTGCCCCACCTGCTCCCCCAGACTATTTATAACCAGGAGCGTCCTCGGCCACCCCCCTGGTCTCTGAGAGAAGAGGAATGGACGGGGCGGAAGCGGCTGGTCCTCCCTCCTGCGGGGCCAGCCTCCCACCTCCCCGCTGGGAAAGGCAGTGGAGGGTCTGCAGCCCAGCTCAGAGCGAGGCAGGGGCGGGCACAGGAGGCCAAGCCCTGTCCCAGGCACCCAGGCTAACGCAACAGCTCTTGCTCCGGCTCTAAGGGAAGGAACCAGTGGGAAAACGCAGGGAGTTGGGGCACCAAGAGCCCTTCCCTGGGAGCCACTCACCTCTCTCCACAGTGGCGATGCCCATGGCGGCCTGCGGGAGGGTGGCCCGATGCTCCCAGCGGCCCTCGTCGGCCAGGAAGGCCTCCACGGCAGCTACTGGGCTCTGGCCCTCGTCCACACCTCCCACCACCAGCACCTGCTTGCCCAGCACCACCGCGGCCGCGCCAGCCCGAGCAGTGGGCAGGGGTGCTAGTGCCAGCCATGTGTGTGAGGCCATGTCCAGGGTCTCGGCAGTGTCCAGGGGCAGCCCAGCCCGGCCACAGCCCCCCAGCACTAGCAGGTGCCCATCCTGGTGTGCGACCGTGCCATACACCCGGCAGGTGGGCATGGGTGGGAACACCTGCCAGGCAAAGGCCCGGCCACCCCCTGCAGCCATGGTGTTCACCTCATTGGCAGGCCCTGCTACTGCTCAGGCTGCAGGCCTCGCGGTGCCAGCCTCATCTTGACCACCAGGTTAAGGGTGTCTGACGGCCCAGGGCACGTGCCTTCTCCTGGAGGAGAGAGGGAGACGGGTCAGGCCCCTGACCTGCTCTCAGAGGCCAGATGGGCAGCCTGTAGCTTCGGGCCGGAATCCCCGGTGGGAAAGGCAGGAATGGGACCCCCTGGCTGGCTAGCGAGCCACCGTGGAGGCCCACCCACCTGGAGTGGGCAGGGTGCAGCTCCCAGACCCTGGGCCTCGCCCCCTCCCATGGACGTGTGGGATTCCCTCCCACCCCCTGTCCCCTGCTCGCCTCCCCTTGGCCACCCCTCGGTCTCTGAGAGAAGAGAATGGACGGGGCAGGGGAGCGGCTGGTCCTCCCTCCTGCGGGGCCAGCCTGGGCGCTGCCTCCCACCTCCGCTGGGAAAGGCAGTGTCGGGGCCGCAGCCCAGCTCAGAGCCAGGCAGGGGCGGGCACAGGAGGCCAAGCCCTGTCCAGTCCCCTCAGAGCTCCCTGGTCAGACCCGGTCTCGATGGGAGGTAAGGGGACGAGGACAGGGCTCTCCACTCTGCGGGAGCGGACTCTTGCGTGCCCCCCTCCCGGCTTCCTCTGCGCCCGGGCAGCCATCAGGTCTCCCACTGCCGCCAGGGCTCCAACTCCAGGGCACCCACAGCCCCTCTGGGAGCCACGCTCACCCACTCCCCCCAGCAAAGGGCCACCACCAGGATGTCTGGGCCTGGAGGCCAGGGTCCCGCACTCCCCCTGGGGTCCGCCCTCAGCAGCTGGTGCTCTCAGCCCCCAGGCCGGCTCCCTGGTGTCCACACGGGGGAAGAGGGTCCAGCAGGAATGGGCAACTGGACCTCTGCGCCCCTCACAGCAAACCTCAGCCCCCCAGCCTGTCCCTTCTGGAGGGACACACTCCTGGGACCCCAGGCGCCGGAGCCTCCAGCCCCAAACTTCCAGCCCGCGGGAGGGCGGGGGGCGGGTC